ATTTGTGGATGCAAGACATCTATTTATTACTTGTCTCGCCTTCTAAAGCACGCACTTTCTGCCATTCCGCCTGATCATCTCTCAAGATGCTCGTGTGTAAGCCTTTCTGAAGGCCGTCATGTTCTCCCTTCATCTCACTGACAAGAAACAGTCTGCCCCAATTGCGCCAATATCCTCACTGTCTCGGCAGTTGGCTCGGTTCGCAACCGCCTTGAGTGTCGCACATGCCCTTTTGAACACCCCATCACAGCACCCATCTACTCGCGCCGCGAGTTCGAGCGCAAGGAGCGCGAGGACGTCTTTGGCGGCCCTGGCGAGTGGGATAATGCCGATAAAGCACGCGCGCAGTGCCCCAAGGAAGGATGCAATGGCGATGAGGCGGCCTTCTTCCAAGTTCAGATCCGGTCTGCGGATGAGCCGATGACAACGTTCTTCAAGGTAGGCAATGTGGTGCCCCGCGAGGCAAGACCTTGAGCTGACATCTACAGTGCATGGCCTGCGGCAACCGATGGAGAGAGAATTAGAAGCTCAAGACGAAGACGTGGAGCAGCAGTCTCGTGGAATGATTTGGTATTGCGCGGCGTTGGGGTTTGATCTCGGAACGTGGGCTTGACGTCTTATCCTTAACTTCTGAATGGCATGGGTATCTTTCTATCTCTTCGCGACCCGTGATAATGCACTCTATGCACCTTGTCGCAGTGCTGCCAGCGTCGCACCTGATACTGGCTCCTAATGTGTACACGCGCTGGTGTCTATTGCTCTGGCCTGGGGTCGGCACATCGCTATTGTGTGTTTGTATAGTAATGTTGGCCGGTTGGTTGTTGATGTGTCGCTGATGTTGACCTCGCAAAGTCTGCTGCTAATCATATTCTTCCCGTGTCGCATGTCAATCCTCACTTGTCGTCGTGGTGCCACTCCACGGCCGCTCGCATGCCATCATCAACCAGCCTCTGAACCAGGTCAGGGCTGATGATGTCCTGCCTGAACTGCGGCTGCTGCAGAAGCTCAAGATGTTTCAACGTAGGTCCAGGGTACATGAGGTACTTCAGGTATGGCGGCTTGGACCAATACTGGAGGTAGGCGAGGTAGGCGACGAATTCGGGCTTGCTGAGGAGCTTCTGAGCGGCAAGGTGGTTCAGGTAGGCTGGGTTCGCAAGTGACTGGACAAACTATTTGATTGTCAGCAAATATGCCACATGACCACCAGCCAAAAAGTAGACTGCGCAACACATCAAGACGCGTAGTTGAGCACCAAACTGACCTCGAGCTCGATTTCGAAGCGCGTGAAGCCACCATAGACAGGCTCATTGTCGTCGGCGCCAGCCGGTGCCGCTGGCGGCAAGTTTGTCATGGGGACATCCTTCTCCTCTGACTTTGTTTCCATGGTGAGATAGTCGACCGCAACTTGGTCACGAGATGGGCGACGATGCCGTGGAGCGAAGTCGGGAGGGAATGATGGATGCCGTAGGTTCGTCGTAATCGAGACGTGGAGTACTGTGCCTACCTTGGTCTGTAAGGATTTAGCGTCTCATGCCCGCCAGTACTGCCGCCGTACCTGGAGGATCCACTTTACTGACGTGGGGCTGCAGTAGTGGCCGCGGGCCTGTACCACCGGCCGGTAAGCTGCGCTCATGGCCAACGCCCCACTGCTCCCCTCTCCTCCTTGTTCCCTCTGGAGCACCTCATCCAAGCTGCCTGTTTGCCAGATACTCGAGGATCTGTATAATATGCCACCTATCTAGAGCTTGAACCTTCCAACTTGGGCTCGTCTCTCCATAATATTCCTTGAGATTCAGTGCCTCCCTTTGATGCTGTCCCATTTGCCGGTGAGTGATGGACCGCTATTCTCCATTCTGTTGGGGCTTCTGTCATGATTAGGCAACATGGCTTATTTGAACGAGTTGCGGCATGCGTTCATCTCCCGCACCTTGACCGAGTCCAAACAATTTATACCTGCATCTGCCTTTCCAAACCGGACTTCGGTTGCCAGAATGGCCGCATCAAATATCAAGACGAGGATCCTCGTCATCTCCGACACTCACGGCAAGAAGCCACTCGAGACTGGCTCCGATGAGACTACGAACCCGCCAACACAGGCATACCGTTACCCTCTACCCAAGGCAGACATTGCCATCCACTGCGGCGATCTTACGCTGGGCTCAAATGTTGAGGAGTTCGAGGCCACCTTCTCCATGATTCGGGCACTTGATGCACCTCTCAAGCTTGTTATAGCTGGCAACCATGATCTCGCTCTCGATCGCGCCTTTTGGGAGGACCACGCCCTTCACGGCTTCCAAGCCAAGTACCTCACAGGGAAAAAGAGGGAACTTTACATGAAACGCCCGGATCAGGTTGCCGCCATCATTGAGGCTGCAAAACAGGACGGCGTGCGCTACCTCGAAGAAGGCACGCACGAGGTGGAGCTCCAGAATGGCGCGAGGCTTCGCGTGTATGCCTCCCCCATGACGCCCGAGTTCGGCGGATGGGCATTTCAGTACCCCTATGGTCAACACGACTATGACATGCCGATTGGGGGTGTTGACATCGCCATCACGCATGGACCCCCGAAGGGAGTAATGGATGAGTGCAGAAGCGGAGACGACGCCGGCTGCCCGCAGCTTTTCAGCGCTGTTGCAAAGGCCAGGCCCAAGATCCACTGCTTCGGCCACATCCATGAGGCCTGGGGCGCCGAGCTGGTGACTTGGAGAAGCCCTTTGGACATGCCGATGAATATTCACTTCAATAATGCCGTGGACTGGGGACAATCGAGAGTTTTACACAACTTGAACCGACTGGTTCCCGGCGAGTGGGATAGCGAAGAGGAGGCAGAGAAGAAGATGGAAAGGAGAAGGAAGATGTACGAGGAGAAATGCGCAGCTCTTGACATATCCTCAGGCGGGCCCTCGCCATTGCGGTTTGGCGAGCAGACATTGTTCTTGAATGCCGCGATCATGGACATTCACTACCATCCGACAAATGTACCATGGTTGATCGATGTGGATCTGCCGGTTTCTGGAGCAAGCGAGTAGCCAGTCTCCCTCAGAGACGTACGTTGCAGCACTCACCATGCGTTGCCAGCTTATGTTGTGTAACCAAACCGGTTTTGTGACACCGCGCAACCACAACGTCTGGCGATGACTTAAACCACCTGCCAGAAGAAAAACACAAGTGCACATCTACCCATGGTGACTGAGCGCTCCAAGACACGCACTGTTGGCAAGGCATGATGGCGAGGGATCACAGTTGACATACGCAACACGACCAGCTTCATGTTCTTTTGGACCGTCTCGTCTCAGAGCCCTTGGATATCGCGGGACTACCCCAATACTCGAACATAGGAATGTGCTGAGAAACGAGGCGATTACACGTCACGAGCGTTCTAATTCGACAAGGCCTCAAGTGAATTGTATTAATGTACCCTGCCTACTGCTGAAACAAAACGGCCGAGCAGTGAAGCCCAGCCTTGCAGTTCCGACGCCTCGCAAAATCCCGTTTCGACCATATTATGTTTTCCATCTCGACACCCAAGTAGACCTCTCTCTCTCCCTGCGACGCTGCGCTTAGAGAGCAGCGGCAACACCGAGAATGGCGGCCATGGCGGCACCGGCGAGGGCGACGGGGGTGGCGGCGGCGCCGCTGCCACCAGTGGCGGTCGGGGCGGTGCGAATGGAGCTGGAAATGGCAGAGGTCTCGTTGATAACACTGCTGGTGGGCGCGCTAGTGGCCTGGCTTGCGGAGGTGTTGTCGTCGTCGTCGTCGTCAACAGACGGCGAGGGAGTGGGGGTGGCGGAGCCGGACTGGCCGCGGCTGACAGAGCCGGTGGCGGTGGCCAGGTAGGACGAGCAAGCGGCGCCAGCGGCGGACTGGGCCTGGGCGACCTCGGCCGAGCCACAGGAGCTGAGCAGGCAGGGACCGACGATGGGGAGCAGGGAGGCCTGGATCTCAGGAGAGCACTGGCAGCCAGTGTCCTGGAGGCCACAGCCTACCTGGGGCAGGGCGGTCTGAAGGCAGGGCAGCTGGGACGCGTCGCGTTAGTAGGGTTGAGATGCGGGTTGAGGATAGAGCAATGGCCTTACAGCACAGCTGGGCTGACCACCAAAGTCTTGGGCGGCGACAAGGCCGGCGGCGACGAAGACAAGGGCGTACTTCATTGTGATGGTGTGGAGTGGTATCGAGGGTGGAAAGTCCTATGCGATGTGCAGCCGGTTTGCCGTGAAGAAAGGTACTGAGAGAGAGATAGAGAGCGTGGTGAGGTGTGGAAGGAAGAGAGGGGAACCTGTCTTCACGAGGGAGCTGGCGACGATAAATGGACTCCAGCTCGAGGTGCTGACCCCCAGGTTTGAGGCGCGCTTTCCATCCCCACGTCAGCAAAGCTTACAAGTAGGTCCCCGGGGGCTCCTTCCCTGTCAAGTTCGCCAGGGGCGATCGTATTGGACCCCAGAAGCTTTTCCTAGGCTGCCATCGTCCGTGGTCTAGTCCGTTTGGGAACATCAACAGATCAATTGATTGGCACGCTCTTTCCCAGCAAAGCTATCAGGGTGGAGCAGCAAAGCTGATGGGTCACGGTTCAGGGGCCCTGGCCACGAGTCAAACGTCCACTTATCCACTCGGTGCAGGTACCTTACAGGTAGGTACGGTATTTACATGTACCACAACAGACCTGAATGCACTGTACCTAGGCGCTGTCACACATACTTGTACAGGCACAGGCGCAGGCGCAGGTGCAGGGGTTCCTATCGCCCGTCCACCAGGTTCCTCTTTACCTTCGGGATTATCGGCTCAACAACAATTTCTCCATATTGGGTGGGTTTTTGTCGCTACTACTCTGCCGAACAGCCCAACACGTCTACGGCAGTTGCCGAGCTATATATGTTGTCATGTTCCTGGTGCCTCATTTATCCTTGAAACTCTGTTCTGGTCTTGTCTTGTACGACGCATCCGGCACTTGAACAAAGTGAAGTGGTTCTAGAGCCTGCATTGCACCATGTAAATGGACGTCTGGCTTTTAATCTCAGCATGGTGTCTGTCCGCAAATCTCTTCGCCTCTTTGTCTTCAGTTACTCGCATGGTTCTTACTTGTACATGTACACCATGTTTGTCTGTCAACCCATCAACGATGATGCTTTTAGTCCGCAAGACGGCACACTCTACCTCCTCGATCTTCTGAGAGACCTTTGCTCCGGGAGACAAGCAAAGTTCTGCCGAGCATGCCTCGGCGTGCCATCACGCAGAGTTGTGTATGGAGTCAGCCAGACCTTGTCGCCCGTCCTGCAGTTCCCTACAGGTCCGTACTTGCCAATACTTGTGTGATTCTTCTTCCGTGCCCTCCCCTCTTTGTCGGCCTGTGCTGGCGTTGATGCCTGGAATCTCATTCACTGGCGGCACCTACCATGCTGCTATTATCGCGGGCTCCCATTCAACCCCAGAGGCCTGGAAAGCTTCACAACCAAACTTTCATTCCACTCTCCCTTCCCACTGTAGCATCATCGACCCACATACATTTCCCGCCTGTTGCATCCGCTGTCTGGCTCATTTCCCTTACTCAACGGAGAGAGCGAGAGCGAGAGCGAGAGAGAACTTGTGGCACAGCCACAACTCATCTGTCTGTCCATCATCATCTTGGTGGAGTTCGCCCCTGGACAGAGCTCCTGTTGCATGACTTATCGTTCGTGTTCCCTTCCGCCACTGTGACGATGGAACTTGGGGGAAGTGGCAGCGAGTCTGCAGACGATCTAGGAGAAGCCAACCGACAGCTCGAACAGCTTCGTCAGCAGCGTGGACTTGGCTCAGAACAGCATGGATTTGTTGCCCGAAACCTCGGAAGTGCTCTTGATATTCTGGCGTCGCAGCTCAACTCCAAGACGACTCACTTTATCTTGGAGCTCATCCAGAATGCGGATGATAACGCGTATCCCAGTGGCGTCCAGCCTACATTCAGCCTTGTCCTCGACAAGAATGGATCCAACTTCACACTTCGCACCGACTGCAACGAGACCGGCTTCTCGTTGAAGAACATCGATGCTATTTGCAGTATTGGCAAGAGCACTAAAACCGGGATTATCAATGGCCAGAAAGGGTTCATTGGCGAGAAGGGCATTGGGTTCAAGAGTGTCTTCAAAGTTGCCCATCAAGTCGACATCCTGAGCAACTTTTATGAGTTTCGAATTGACCGCACAGCCCACCTGGGCATGCTCGATCCGAAGCCGCATAGATTCCCGGACACTCAGAGACGTGAGGGGCACACCCAAATGCTGCTTCACCTTCTCCGGGACAAAGACCACAGAATTTCTGACATAACCAAAGGACTCCAGCAAATCAAGCCGGAGTTGCTTCTGTTCCTGCGTCAGCTGAGCGTGCTGGATATAAAGGTCGAAGACGGACATTGCGTGTACAGGTCAATTCGCCAAAATCGGGACCCACGATATGACGGAGAAACTGTCTCTTTGAACGAGGATCGTACTGGATCCCCATTCGATGAGCCTGTGAAGACAACAAAACTGCATCTCATTGTACGGTACGAAGTGCAAGACATGCCTGTCGATGCCCGCCGGAATAGCGTTTCCAGCACCGAGATCACACTGGCGCTCCCTGTTGGCTCCGAGCTCGAGACATGTGACGCTTTTGCTTTTCTGCCAATCGACCAGTCTGGCTTTAACGTGAGTTCACCTGGCTTATTGGGATATTTCTGCCATGATAACGAACGTGGTTATCTAGTTCATCGTGCAGGCCGACTTCCTTCTTGTGGCCAATCGCCAGGCACTGCAGCACGCCCTTCCGTGGAACCAAAGGATCCTTGAGGCCATTCCCGATGCCTTCGTGCAAGCAGTTCGTCACTTCAACCATGCCGATGCAACACACGGATATAGTCTGAAATATAAATGGCCTCTCTTCCTCGAATACAATGGCCCGAAGAGCTCCACCTGGACAGAGGTTCATCAAGGGATCAAAAGAAGACTGTGCGACGAGGACGTTCTTGAAGCTCGAGATGGCAGGTTTAGGGCTGTGCGTCCTGTTCCATGTCCTGCGGGCACTCAGCAGACTGCTGCCCACAAACCACTCATTATCATTCCAACGGAGTACCGCTTTGACAATGGCTTCTTAATTGATGCGACAATCAACCACGGCCATCATCTGGCGTTCGAATACGACCCTGTTCTGGAGGAGTTGAAGGCACTCGACGTGAAGGAGATGACTGGTGCAGGCCTTCGTAACGAATTCAGCGATTGGCTCGAACGTGCTGGCCATGCCGGACTTGCCGCAAAGTCTGACAAGTGGCACGCGGCACTGGCCGCGGCCTTCATGTGGAAGGGTCGCAGCAAGCAAAAAGACAAGCTTCAGGAACTACCTCTGGTTCATCTAGCAGACGGGAGCTGGGCAGCCTGTGCGGGCGGCGACATCTTTTTCCCGTCGACGGGAGCAGTCTTGAATGTGCCCTCTGATCTTGGAATTCGAGTCGTTCATTCAAATGCTGCAAAAGATCCGCATCGGCGGGAATTCTACACTTACCTCGGTGTCAAAAAGCTGGACGCTGAAACGATTTGTTCCCTGATTCTCGAAAAGCACGCGATGATTCCGAGACCTACGCGGAAGCCTCTCAACTGGGTGCTCGATATCCTGTTTCTTTTCAGACAAAAGAAGCTTCTAGCGACCATGGACAAGAAACCTCGATGGTTTCTGGTGGCCGGCAACAGGTCGATCGCAGAGCATGTGTATGTGGAGGATCCGTCTAGCCACTGCCCTCTCCTTTCTAGACTCATTGCCGATCCTAGCTCGGAGATACAAACCCCCAGCAGCGATCTTATGGACGAATTCACGGGGAACACCAAATATGAATTCATCAGTTGGTTGCAGCAGCTCCCGGGAGTGTCTTCACGACCCCGACTCGTACATAAGGGCTGTTTGACCAGGGAATGGCTCGTTCTCAGCCAAAATGCAGGCAATGAGCTCTTGATTTACCTGAAAAACATGTATAAGAATGACCAAGAATTCTTCAGTCACATGGGCGAAATTGGGGCCGCCATGGGCAACATTCGCGTCCAACTGATGAACGGCCAAGTCAGAACCTTGGCAGGCACAGCCTTACCTACCGAACAGCTGCAGCGACTCTGCCCTGACCTTGACTTTGTTCGCTTACCGGAGCCGAAAGACAAAAGCTAGGAGTTTCTGTCTGCGGCCGGAGTATCGCGAAGTTTTGACTCTAGGGCTGCCCTGGGACAACTGCAGCGAATTGCCCAAAGACCAGCATACGCAGTCACCCAAGAATCGGTCAATGAATTTTATAGAAAGCTGAGCATAAGTGCCCGAGACTTTCAACCTCAGATCCGGTAAGTCGTTTTTCTGCCCTTGTTGGACGTTGATGTGACTCACAGGAAATTACAGAACTGCATTTGCGCAACAGCCCTTGATCTTCATCAGCGGCCCAAATCCCCAATGGGCTTATCCGACTGACTGTATATGGCGTCGGCCTGACTACGTTGAAACTGGATTGCCCCTGCCCAAGGTGTATGAAGGCTATACTGGCCTGTTTAGGGATTACCTCGAGGTTCGAAGCATCAACACAGGTGATATCTCACGCGAGATAAAGGCTATAGCCCAAAATGGGGGAAGTATCGACAAAGTTAAACATCTTGTTCGAGACCTCCTTGCATTGCTTCCTCATGGGAGACTCGCTGAAGCAGAGGAGCAAGACCGAGACGAGATCGAGGGAGCGCCATTATTTCCTGTCAAGACTTGTTCGCATCGCGGTAGCGACACCGAGGGGCCGACTACTTTGCGCAGCCTTCGAGACATGAATTGGTATATCGCAGACAGGCCGGAGCTGGAAAAGATGTTCATCGGAAAGGTCGAGCTTCTCGACGTAGAGGCGAGTCTCCGAAGAAGTCTTGTGGGCGCGTTTGGGCTGCACCTTCGACAACTTTCCAAGGCTGTCACGGAAGAAGTGACTTGGAACAATCGGGGACAAACTATTGATCGCAACATGACAACCTCGTTCCGTTCTAGGGCTGCACAATTTTGCAGGTACGACTCAATGTCTTTTTCGATTCTCAGATTCACGTTACTGGTCAGGCTAACATGGCTCAGGCTCAGTAGCAACCCGACCGCCGAAATGCTTGATCGGCTCAAGAAAACCGAAGTCAAGACGGTCTCATGCATAAACATTACGAGAAAGCTCGATGGATGCGCCCCGATACGAGATGCGTCGCGTCGCCACCATGTACAGGAGCTCGATGACCGCATCGTCATCTATCATACCACTCTTACCGAGACGGATGTGATGCACCTCGAAGACGACTTTTCAGGTATTGTCGTCAGAACTTGCGGTATTGACGATGCGCGGTGGTCTCGGCTGGTTCCTTTCATAATGCGAGTGGATCCGGACCAGATCATGGATTTTCTCGACAAGCACGATGTGCGTGACAACAACGGGCCGGCGTTTGACATGGTGGACGAGTGGGAGCAAACCAAGAGCGAGAATGGTCAGTCTGAGAAAGAACAGGGAGACCAGGTGATTGAATCTGGACCAGCAGAAAACGCCATGGATGTGGGCGACGGTCCAGATGATCTCGACTTGGGCGGCATTTCCTTTGAAGACAACGACGCAGGTCTGTATGACGACGGAGATTCTGAGGGCGTCGCCCCCGCCAAGCCGGATGTTCTCAAGAAAGCCACCGAAGCTGCTGAGATCAAACTGGAGGAAACGGCCCGCCACTGCCCTGGGACAGGTCCCTCGTCATCGCCCCCAACATCGAATCCCACGCCTCTGAAAAATGTCCGCCGTCGTTCCAGAGTTGAGGAGTCATCTCACACTCGCAAGAGGCAGCGCGTTGAAAAGATGACGACTCCGCCCAGTGTCGACAAGATCAGCGATGACGCAGACGGACATGATGATATGGCAATCGACGACGCTGATAAGCTCCTATCGGAGCCGACAATTGAGGCGGACGTCCCGCCGATTCCTCACGAGCCAAATTACCCTGAAGTGAGAAAAAATGTAAGCTCAACTCAATGTTTCCAAGTTCCCGTTGCTAATACTCCTGCAGGTGGAGGCCCTACTGAGCGAATTACTCCCTGGCTGGCAGCCGTATGGAGACGAGATGCCCGACTGCTATCGATACGTCGACGACGGAGATGAGACCATGCTCAAGTTTGCCAAGAGATTCCATCTCAGGGCTGACAGCTTTAAACACATTGCGCCGCAGATGAAGGCGGGAACCACCTACTGTCTCGATGTCAAGATGACTGCCGGCGAAGTGTCGACGCCTTTCGGGTTGAATAAGACGCAAAATCACTTTGTAAGTGCCCCGGCCCGTGCGGGAGGAGACCAAGATGCTGACCGACCCAGGCTCTACAGCATCACAAACGAGACAATACGACCAACATTATATATCTTGTTTTGCGGGTCTCTCACGCCCTACATGACATCCAGGGCCTCTTGGTCATATTGAACCCTTGGACTCGCCGCGTTGATGAGAATGACCGGACGGAGCTCCAGTGTAGCGAGTGGACTGTGTTCAACTTTGAATGAGCAGAGGAGCCGTGTTTCGTGCGCTGGAACGCCTTGTTGTTTGCAGTCGAGTTCCGAGTGTGAGCCCTAGTCTAGGGATATGGTTTGCTCAGGTAGTTAGTTGTTGAGGATTGGCTGAAATCTTCTCCGCAAGACTGGGACTGTGTTTTACGAAGCATAGGGAGCCCGTGGCTACCAACGAGGGTAGTGGATGTCGTTTGCTTACGTGTCCGGTACAATGTCGCGGCACGACTTGCTGCATGATGAAGGAAAATTAGCAGGAAAAACAAAATTGACAGCCGTTGAGAAAACAGAAGGATCGAGACCAATGTCTAATTAAGATTGCTACATCCTGACAGTATTGCGAACAGGGCACGACGCCGAGTCCCGCTTCCAAGGCCTACTTGTACAACAGGTACTTGTACAACAGGCTAGTCCCACTGCCGCCTACTCATGATGACGGGCCTCGCGGGATCCCAGGGCCCGTAGATTTCATTCTTGTACTTTTGCAGCCCAATGAGCCACCAGCTGCAGCCGCCCATGACGAGGGCGGAGATCAAGACGCTGACGACCATGCCGGCGACGGCGCGCTGCCAGGGGAAGGAGGGCGCGGGCTCGCCAATGACGATGGCGACGCCGGCGCCGGCGCCCAGCACGAGGAGGGCGGACAGGGCGTAGTGGTAGGCCGGGGAGCGGTGGCGGGCGCTGCGGCGGAAGACGGGGAAGAGGCCAAAGACCTCGATGGAGAAGAGGGTCAGGGAGAAGACCTGGCCGGTGGAGGGGAGGCGGGAGGCGAGGACGGTGGAGGCCATGAGGGCGGCGTTTGTGGAGAGGGAGGCCGGGGTGCGTGGGGACGAGGCCGTGGGCGCGGTCGAGTAGTCAAAGGAGAAGATGTTGACGGCGAGGAGCCAGAAGGACATGGCGTAGATTGAGTCGGAGGTTGTGGAGAGGGTTAGGGACATGAGGATGGGAGAAAGGCCGAGGAGCGTGCTGGAGATGAGGATGGCGGCTTGAGGGTGCCGATGCGTTGGTGCATGATATTCGTCGTCTGGTCATCTTCTTGAAGGGGTGGTGGTGGTGGTGGTGATGATGACGATGACACGGTCGATGTGTGCTCCTGCATCGGCTTGTAGGATGAAGGGACTGACGTCGAGGTGGCCGAGTGGAGGGAGGTGGCCGAGGCGGAGTAGGAATTGCGCGGATGACTCTGGGCAGACAGGTTGGTCACGGAACTGGTGGCCGAAGGGATGGCGGACGAGGGCCGCGTCGAAGGCGGCAGTGATGGGGGCGGTGGCGGCAAGGCGGGCCGATGACGCATGCTCCCACCACGGCGACCGATGGCACCAGGGCGGCTGGCAGCCAGGCCGGTGGAAGAGCCGGGGGTCGGGTCAATGGCGGCATCGTTCTCGTCGGCGTCCCACTGCTCCCACAGGCGCCAGCCGACGAAGGAGGCGAGGCTGCTCCAGGACACGACAGCCATGGGCGAGACGCGCTTCTGGAGGATGCCGCTGAAGCAGACGACGAAGATGATGACGGAACACACGTGCTGAAGGATGACGGTGGAATCGGCGACGAGGGGCCAAAAGTCGTAGGGCTGCAAGCGGGGGTTTCGCTTGAGGTTCTCCAGGAAGGTGACCTGATCGGTGTAGTTGTCGGGGTAGGATTGCTTCACCCAGAGGAGCTTCTTCCAGGTGCGGTGCTTGCTGCTGCGATGGTGGTGGCGGCTCCGACTGCGGCTGCCGCTGCCGCTGCCGGGCCGAGAAGCATGGGCACCCTCAAAGGGCGGGAAGACGCCGCTGTGCAGGTTGCGGCGAGGTGGTGAGGGCCCCGTGAAGAAGGCATCTTCGGGGGCTAGGTGGGACCGTTCCTGGCGATGGGTCCGCGTCCTCGAGCTGAAGGAGGGTACGGAAGCGACAGCGCGAATGTTGATGGGAAGGGTGGAGGATCTGGCGAGTGGTGCGAATGGCTCAAAGTCGACATCAGCTTCAGCTTCAGCTTCAGCTTCGGCTTCGGCTCTGGCTGGAGGCTCGTCAGGGGATGTCTTTGGCTGACGGGTGGATAGTGGTGCAGCCATTGCGATGGCGTGGGTGCCCTCTTTTCCTTCGCCAACTCTCCTCTATGATTCCATGAGAAGTCTCGTGGTAGCGCTGGGTGGCATAGATGGGTTGAAGCGATGCCCTAGTCGCGTTTCGCGCTCAGGCTGGATGATAGGATGAGGTTGAGGTCGTCTCCGACGATGTTTCACAACGCAAGGACGGAGGAGGAGTGCCACAGACACGGACACGGACACGGACCCACCCCCTGTGGCGGGTCCAATGGGGGGAAGGGTACGGTGCTCGCTGGGCGAAAAGGTGGGGAGGACGTTGGACAGCTGACAGGTTCCCTGCAAGGCTGTAAAGCTGGGTGCAAGGCTACCGGAGAGCCAGGGGGCAAAAAAGCTTAGCGAATCATTTGCTATGCCCTTCAGTGGTGAGACTTACTCACCCAACCTGCCTTCCTCCTGACCTCAGGAACAGAGGCCTGATCCCAGTTCAGGTACAGAGAGAGACCCGACCCCAGCTCAGGAACAGAGACCCGACCCCAGCTCAGGAACAGAGACCCGACCCCAGCTCAGGAACAGAGACTTCTCGTCCCTTGGATAAGGTACTACCTACTCTACCTTACTCTACGTACATAGTACCTACCTAAGGTAGCTACTCGGCACCTTGAACAGACATCAGCCACAACGTCGTAATGTCCGATCAATGCATCAAGCCCACCATCATCCATCTCGTATTCAGCAACAAAGGTGCTCAGCAACACAAAACGAGAGAGATTCGTCATGGCTACAATAGCATGTGCTGATAAGAGAGACCCGATGCTAAGCTTCGTGGCATGTCTAGGACCACCTTCGGCACAGACGGGACCACCACATGCTTGACAGCGCGCCGAACTCTGATGTTCCTTATCCTTTGTCATATACGCATCTTAAGTTCAGGCATTAATATCGGCCCCCCCCCCCCCCCCAGTCATCATAACCTGGCCGCTTGTCTCTCTCTCCCAGGTGGAACCCTGCCTGGAAGCACAACGCCTACCGAAAAAAAAAAAAGCTTCTTTGTTATATCGACAAACAAAATCTGGCCAAATGCTGCGTCTCCACATGGCCTTCCTAACTTACCTACTCGTACCTACCTAAGGGACCTAAGTAGGTAGGTACCATGTACTATGTAATGCTGCACCCGTCAATCGCCCGCTAAGCCACCCAGCAACACACCTACAAGTCATGAAACGAGAGGCATTTGCCAGCGAATACGGCAAGCTTTTAGGCAGGCGCCAATCGTGCGTTTCGTTTGCGGGGCCAGGCTGCCGGCTTTGGGGGGTGGTGATGCCCCGAGCGTGTTCTCCAACCGCAAAGCCGATAGCGCCTGTGGCTATTTTCGGGAGCCTTCTCGAAGAAGAAAAGGAACCAGAAAATTTATTACCGGAAAAGGCAAGACCGGGGGGTATGCGTCATGTGGATCACCCTAATCTACCATCATGAGGCGTCTCTGTTCGCTGCGCAGACGCGGTAGGTTTGTACAAGACGCCCTGCGTGAACGACCCTTACAGTGCTCACCATGTCAAGCCATGGGGCGATGATGATCCTCCACAGACTTCAAGCAGCTTGCACCCACCCGGCAGCCTGCCATGAGCCGGACGGACACGCCGGTCGAGTGAATACACAATGCATCCCCATCGCAACCCGCGCGTCCCGCCAAAACACGAGACCAAGCTTTGCCGACCTTGATCAAGTACAGTACACGCATGGAACAGATGGGACGGTTCGACCTGCAACTGCAACTGCAACTGCAACTACAACTGCAACCGCAACCGCAACCGCAACCGCAACCTGAGGACGTCTTTGCTGCGGGCCAGTTCGAGGAATAGGGACGCTTCTGCGACGTGACGATGCCTGTTTCTCCCAAGTGCTGTCGTGCTTCGTCCCAGGGAATGGCACATTATTGGATGCTGTCTCGAACACTCCAGTTCGAAAGAAGAAAAAAAAAAAAGGGACCCCTGATCCTATTAGGTCCAGACCCCCGGCACCCACAACCGAACGCGCCCCAGACCGGAACTGGACTTGCTCCCCGCCCCCCCCTTGGAGCTGTCGACCTCGTCTCTTGGGCTGGGCCCCTTGGCTTGGAGAGACAAAGCAGGGGCCCAGAGCGCGCCCGAGACCCAAACGTCTGTGCTTCTAGAGCCTGCGCCGCGCCTTTGCTGGACTCCCTCGCTCATGCTCATGCTCATGCTCGTGCTCGTGCTCATGCTCATGCTCCTGCTCGTGTCCTGGTCAATGGCTCGTCGGCAGACGGAACGGGGTCGGCGGCTTAACAAGATCAGGCGCCAGCATAAACTCATATTAAAGTCCTCGTGTTGGTCTCTCGTCTCGAACAGCCCGACACCCTCTCGCATTCTGCTCCTGTTTCCTTTTGCTCTTGCTTATCTACAGCTGTCTTCTCCCGCTCACTCTCACTCACTCACCCCCGCCTTTTCAGAGCACCACCCTCGCGACTACTACAGCTTGAGCAACACCACCTGCACTATCGCCTTTTACATCGTCTTGGCCACCGGGCAGCACCCATTCGCATCACAACACCCCGCACCACCTCCCAACTTTCCTCTTCTGGACACCCGCACTCCTGCGGCGCCTTTAGCCAGCCTGCCATCGGCCATTCATGCAACCAACTTGCATGCGGTGAACCAGAGTTCTAGATCGTTAGAATCCAATTTACATAGCCAGCCCTTTCCCAAACCGAAAGCCCGGGACTTCGACCTCCACATTACACACCACGGTATCTACCATCTGAAAGAGAGAGAAAGAGACAACGCTCTCTCCACGACTTTGAAGAGTGATTCACCCGAGTCGGTCTCTCGCCCCTAATTGTTATTTCAACAAGGCGGCCCCCTGCCACCTTTCCAGCCGTCTTCGTCCTCAACTCGCTCTTCAACCCTCACAAATCAAAATGCGGACGGCATCGTTACTCTTGGCGCTTGGCGTGACCCAGTTGGGCCTCGCAGCTCCTGTCCCGCAGTCATGGGAGGATCTTGTGTTACCCGAGGGCCTCAGCTCTCGTAGCGTCCTAGTCACAAGGATATCCCGGCGATCAACCAAGACCGACAAAACACCAGACTTTGACTCGAAACGCAGCAGCCTCAACTCAGAAACTGCCTTTGACAACCGGCCCTTGACGCCGTCCAGCACGGTCCCGGCATCCCAGGCTCTCACAGCGACGCGGCCACTGCACACAGCCTTCCTGCAGGCCCTCTCCAAGAGCAAGGACGCCGTCATGGTCATTATCGACGTGGAGGACGACGGCACGCCCGTGGTGTCCCCGGTGCCCGTGGCCGTGGCGCATCACTTCCCCGCGTACGAAGCCATCGCCGAAGTGGACGCCGCCACCATCAAGCCAGTCGAGATGGTCAAAGTCATCGAGGTCACCAACGGCGTTGCCGAGACGAAGAAGTTCTGGGCGAAGCAGGCAAAGACGGGGCCCGCCCCGTCGAGCTCAACCACGGGCGAGATGCTCAAGGGCCTCTACGCCGATTACACGCCGTGCTGGAAGAAGACGACGGCGCGTGTGCATCGTCTGGCGCGCGGCAAGGCCGACCTCATCGTCGTTGGTGCTTTCCTGGCCCTGACAGTCATGCTGTGGACGCTGCACCTCATGTCTGGCGTCATCCTACGGTACGTAGCTCTCACTTTTTTCTCCCCTTTCCTTTTCCCTTCGTCGTACTGTTTGCCCCCTTTCTTTTTTTCCTTCATCTCGCATACCTGTGCGTCCGTCCACACCGGCTAACACGTTGAAAATGTAGGAGCTGCAGCGACTGGCTCGGCTCTCGACAGGGCACCATTCGGCTCGAAGGCGGCGAGAGACACCCGTGCCCGGAAGACTATGAACTGGAGAAGACGACAGAGACAGTGGGACAGACGAAAGAGACGGTGTGAGCAGACGACAGAGACGGTGTAAGCCGAGGGGTGTTTAGTGGGACACGATCTTTCATTACGGCGGCTTTTCTTTACGATACCATCCAACCACGGCTATTTTTTTTTTTCAGCAGTCTATTTTTGTTCCGCTACTACTGTTACCGGGTCTGCAAGCGCGTCGGCGTAGATGGAGTGGGATTAAACAAGGGAGGCGCGGGGGCCGGGGGACAGCGGGGATTGTATAATCAATTGACAGGCGGATGCGACTGTGACGGTATACTTTTATTTTTTTATTTTTACGCTTTATACTCAATTTCTTTTGACTTTCCTTTTTGACTTTCGCTCTCTGCTAGGAGGACCTGGATCAAGATGAGGCCCCAATCGTCGCGCGAGTCGCGTGGGAAGTCCACCATAGATAGCGACAACGTGGCCAGCGCTGCGTCGCATCGCGTTGGAGCTGGGCCGGGCCTCAAAAGCTCAAAGGAGTCAAGTGAATTATTTGACTTTGAGAGGTCAACCTGGCAACGAGTCGCAGGAAGCGAGCTTCTGAGGTTCGCGAAGGACCAGACGCCGACTTCGGGTTCGAGGGAGAGAAGAGGATGGCGAAGCAGTGAAATGAGGAGGCCTTCTTCCCCCTCCCTCCCTCCTTCCCTCCCCTCCCTGCCCTGGCAAGCTGGCAATCGAGGGTCAGCCCCCCCCCCCTCTCTCAAGAGCTGATCCTGGTCCCGCGAAGCCCTATAGGGTCAACAAGCGGGCCAGCAACAGAGAGGCAGTGAGGTGAGAGGTCAGGGCCCTGCCATGACACCTGGCGCCATCGGGATGCGCGATGCAGCGCTGCACACGTGTGTCATCGCTTTGGGCGAGAGGTTGGGACGGTTGAAGGCCCCACGATTAGGTTTTCGCCTTCCGTGTCTCGAAATGCCATTGTTTGCTTGGTGGCACCTGGCCCGGTGGCACTTCGACACCGAGCCAAGCGTCACTTGCCCCAGTGGGCGGTGTTGATCTGTTTCCTAGCGGCAGGCGCCATGGACCAACGATCGTGCTCGGGACCTGAGGACTGTCCCGCGTGCCCGCCGGAGCTGAGTGAGGAGGGGTCAAAGGGCGCTTTGCCCGAGCACCAGGTGCCTCCTGACCTGGGACGGGATCCTCTTGCCTTGGCTTGCCTTGTCTTGGATACTGCTGCCGCCGCCGCCGGCCGGAAGGCACCTACCTACCTGCCTTAGCTCAGCTCCTGGCTCCTTCCTGCTGCATGTGCCTGCCCTGGGCTGAGATTTGAAGGGGGGCAATTGTTCGAGCTGACACTTTCTCGCACATGTCGGGTTTCGCATTCTCTTCTCCTTCTCTTCACTCTCCTCCCTTCCCATTCCCTCTTGTCTCTCTTTCTCCCGTGCCCGGACGAGATTCAGTACTCCTGCTACCAAGTACATCCCTCGATCATAGTCCACGGACCAGGTGTCACAAAACGTGGCGAGCTAATCCACACGCCTTGGCAGCACGTACCACGAGACGCTTGCCCCTCATCTCCGCCAAAGCTCCCAAGAAATTGCCCCGCCAAATCGTCTCTGACGCTTCGACGTCCTCACGAAGAGAGACCACGATTGGCGCCGGACCCAGGCAATTGCTTCCTCGGCAACAACGAACCATCAGTTGTCACTTGCTTCACCGCCATGTCTCTCCAGGTCGACGATCGCGGGAGACGGACTCGCTCCCGTTCACCGGGCCGTCGAGAGCGCAGTCGCAGCCCGGCCGTGCCGCACGTAATGGAGGCACGCGAGCCGAGCTACGCGTACCCCGAGGACGATCTCGACGAGCGCGACCGATATGCGCTCGCGCGGCGCGCCGACCAAGCAGCGCCCGAACCTCCCGGTGCCTTTCCAGGCGCACCTGGTGTCTCTTCCGCTGGCGGCATCCCCTACCCTGAAGACGAGAGCCTCTTCCCCGGGAGCCGCTCCATGTACGGCTACGACAACCGCGCACCAGCGTCCCCCGGCTATGGCCGCCCCGTCTCACCCGCAGCAGCTGGTGGTCCTGGCAGCTACTATCCCGATGCCCGCAACCCTCGTGACCGGCCCGAGGAGCCTCGCATCCGCACGGCTGAGCCCAGGGACAGCAGGGATTCACGACCCATTGACGACGACAAGCTCAAGTACCTGCCTCAAAAATACGCCCGCCCCAGCAGCCGCGCAGGCCCTGATGATCGCGACCGCGACCAGCGTACTTCCCGCGCCACGTCGCCGCGACCCTCTTCCCCTCCTAGTCAATACAAGTACGCCGAGCCGCCGCAATACCAGTACGGCCAGGTTGACGACAAGAGCCAACGCGGCTATGAGAAGCGCAAGGATGAGGACGACTTGACCTACGGCGTGGACCCATACGGACGTCGAGACGCAAGCCCCAATCCGGCCACCAGATACTCTCAGGCCCCGCCGTCTCCTGGGCCGTCACGGCAGAAGCAGTATTACGGCGAGTCCAGGAGCGACACGTCGAGCAACGTTCTGACCGTCGAACCTGGCGGCGGTGATCGCCGAAGCGGCCGCCGCGACAGGTCACCTCAGCCGCCGCACCAGCGCATGTCTTCTCTGTCCGTCAACAACGCCCATGCTCCTGCTGCGGGCATGACTCTAGCTGCCGCTCCTGGGTCACCCCTCCTCGAATCCTACCGTGGCACCTACCAAGACATGTCGCCAATGCCGTCGCCTCTGCTGCTTGCTTCCAACGCCGGGCCGAACGTGATGGAGCCCCTCTCGCCCCTTGGCTCGGATGACGAGCGCGGCACGCGGAGACGCCGTGCCCGTTTCCATGACGATCCCGAAGATAACGCGACTCGCCTGGCCAACGCACTCAAGGGCACGAAGAAGGATAGCGCGCCCGACACGAACCCTCTGATCGAAATTTTGCCCGGCCTGAGCCACGAGCAGATTATGGAGCTGAGGACCGAGTACAAATCGATTGTCAAGACGGGCGCCGATCGCAAGGGCGTCAACATTGCCAAGCATATCCGCTCACGCCTCAAGGACGCTGACCCGAGCTTGATGAAGGCGTGTTATGCTGTGGCCCTTGGCCGCTGGGAAAGCGAGGCCTACTGGGCGAACTTTTGGTATCAGGGCGACAAGACGCGGCGGGAGTTGCTGATTGAGAGCTTGATGGGTCGTTCCAATGACGAAATCCGTCTGATCAAGGACTCTTTCAGCGATAAGAAGTACGACAATAGCCTGACAAAGTGTATGAAGACGGAGCTCAAGGAGGACAAGTTCAAGAAGGCCGTTCTCATGGTCCTCGACGAGCGCCGCATGGACGACGTCGATCAATACGGTCGACGTTTGCCTCTGGACTTCCACCTCGTGGACCAGGATGTCGACGATTTACGCCGTGCAGTCAAGAGCGTTAAAGGCGGCGAGTCCCTCATGATCGGCATTGTTGTGCAGCGCAGCGACGAGCACCTTCGCGAGGTTCTCAAGACCTACGAGCGTGCCTACCGCACCAACTTTGCGCGAGACGCGCTGAAGAAGAGCGAAAACCTTGTGGTAAGTCCTCCGTTGTGACCCCCAAGGGTGGATGATGTCGTGTGTTATTGCGGCCATGCTGACTGCAGAATTTCAGGGCGAACTCTTGGCGCACATTCTGAACGGCGTCATCAACAGGCCTGTTCGCGATGCGCTGCTGCTGAACCACGCACTGACAGCCTCGAAGCGTGACGGCTTGCGCAAAGACCTGCTCATCTCACGCTTGGTACGTTACCACTGGGACCATGCGCACATGGAGGCCATCAAGCGGGCGTACCGTGAGCGCTACCGCGTTGACCTGCAAGAGGCGGTCCGGGAGGCAACAAGCGGCGAGTGGGGCCAGTTCTGCTACGAGCTGTGCATCTATCGCATGCCGAATGATGTGAAGAGAGTAGAGAGGGTTCAGGTACGGTGAGAGTGCTTGACGGAGGATAGAAAGCAGAAAGGCGATTTGACGGTGAAATGAAGGACTGGGCATGTCGTAATGGTGGGTTGCAAAATCTCTTGAAAGTCAGAAAGTCAGATTACGCCGGCCATGCCGGAGCATTATTACAGGCATCTAACCCCCTGCTGGATCAAGGGCGGCAGAGATAAGAACGAATGCAGCTATTCCCGACCCCGATCGTCGCCGGCCGGCCTTCTGCCCTGGAGTCTGCTTTCTTCTCTTGCAGGCTCTAAATCCGCCCAGCGCACCCTTGATCTCGACCGTGGCGCTGCTCTTGGGGGCTCCTCCTCGCGCGGTGATGTCGATACTGGACGCAACCGCTCAACAGAACCTTCCCTAGGCCACCGACCTGGTGATGCATCCCTGAATTGTCCGCGCCTTGAAGCGACCAGGACTTCTCTCGCGGGAGCCTGCCTCGTCACCGTCTCCGTAACCCTGCTTGTCAGTCGCATGCCTTTGAGCACATGTTCGCGACCATCCTCGATGCTGCTCCTGTTTCCGTGGCCGCCTGTCCGAGATCTGTTGGGCCTCTCCCTCGTCCTCTCCCTCCCCATCCGTTCTCTGTCCCCTCCGCGGCGGCAGCATGAGGCAGTGGGCCTCTCTGCTCTCCCATCATCGCGAGCCGTGCGAATAGACCGATCAGCTCCCCTGGAGAGCAGAACCCCCCATCTACTGGGATCGCGCTGTTCCATACCCAAGTCAGCTCTTGACCCTTCCGGCCCATTTACCCCAAGGACAGCATTCGACTGAGCAACAAAAAAGCAAAACTCACCTCGCCCGGATACCGCACAACGCCCTCAACCCGCCCACCCCAATCCCCCCTCCTGAGCGCAGGCGAGCAGTCAAAAATACCCCTGTCCCTCCTGCCCCCCGTCGCCGGCATCTTGCCGAACCTCCTCCTTCTTCCGCGTTCATACCCGCAGCACGCATCGTCATCTGCGCCACAGCTCGACCCGTCCTCGTCGTCAGACGAAGAGCAGCAGCAGCAGCAGCAGCAGGAGGAGGAGCTCGAACAGGCCGAGTCCGAGCTCGAAGTTTCCGAGTCCGAGTCGACCGTCACGATGCCGTCTTGGTCATGCCCGTAGCCGGACCCGGGCCTGTCGTGGCTGCGGCGAGATATCGGCTGGTGCGAGACGTGTCGAGGCGGCGCCGGCTGCTGGAGGGAGGCTATTGTCTCGGCGACGATGCGGCGAATGTCAGACTCGGTCATGGTTGGCATCTTGGTGTTGCGCGGGGCTCGAGGATGAAGATGGAGAGTTCACGCGGACGGAAAACATGCATAGCATCAAGGGAAAACATGCATAGCATCAAGAGGAGATGAAGACCTCGTGGCAATCTAGACAAACGGCGACATGGCTGCTTGCCCCTCACCTCGCTCGGTCTTGCGAGGCAGGCAGCCGGATCCTCCACCACACGAACCGGGCGGCTGCCGGCATCCCATAGTGTAACGGCGAGCCAGCGAATCATCAACACATCCCGTCGAAAGGCACGTAGTTCAATGCTCTCATTATCCTGAATGATCATGCGTTGCGAAAAATAAAAACAGACGGCGCAACCAAGCAGCCGCCATGGCTAAACCGAGGCCCAAACCCGTGTTCGTCTTCAGGCCTCAATACGCCGTCCTGCCTCCATGTCCGATCCCAGTTCCCGCCCACGTCAACCAGTTCATGGACCTCAGCAGGGTTGCTTCCCTGCGTGAATCTGACCAGGCCTCGAATGCAAGCCCCCAAAACGCCGGTGGACCATTAAACAACACCTTGTCCCTCCCTTCCAGTCATACAGCTATGTGCTCCGTTCACCACCCCTCATCTTCCTACAGGAACCCCTTGGTCAGACTCGGCGCACGACTAATGCTGCTCTTCCGCTTAGGCACGTCGATCATGGAGTTCCTATCATCGTCAATACCAAAGCCCGTCCGCCACATGTTGGGTGGAGCACGCGTGCGCATGCTACCGCCCATGACGGACCCCATCTCCATCCTCATCGACCGTAGACCTTCTGCCTCCCTCTCGAGACGCAGAGCTCTCTCCTTCTCCTCGCGAAGCTCGCGTTCCGCCCGGCGAGCCGCCAGTTCGATCGCAGACTCAGCCGACTGCAACTCCTCAATGGTCTGCAGCAGCTTGTCGACCTTGTCACGCATCCGCGAAACATCGTCTGACAGTTGCGAGTTTTGCTTGTCCTTGCGGTCGATCTGGCTTTGCAAGTCCTTGACGATACGGTCAACGTTACGCACCGATCGTTGCGACTTGGACCTCTCCGTTTCCTGGTCTTCGAGTTGCGATTCCAGCTGTTGCAGCAAACTCCGGTCAGTGTCCTGCATCGTTGTGAAATCTCTTTGGAAACACTGCACTTACCTCTTGGATACGTTTGTGCAAGAATTTGATGTCGTTGCTGGCGCTGGAGTACCCCTTGGTCTCCAGGTCAACGACTTTGATCTGCACCTCGTTGAGTGACTTCTCCAGGGCTGCCTTGGCCTTTAGCAGCTGGGCGCTGGTCTCACGCTCGACCATGGCCTCCTTCTGCATCTCAGCGGCAAGCGACTCAGCGCGCCTCATCTTCTCAATCGCTGCAGCTGTGATATCTTCCTTTTGCGCCAAGCTTGACTTGAGATCCAAAATCTCCTTGTCAGCGTTGGCCGCATCCCGGAGTGACGGGCTATCACCCTTGGCGAGATCCTCAAGGCCAGCCTTAGCCTCCGCGAAACGTGCCTCAAGACTGCGTTTCTCTCGGATGAGCAGGTCCCGCTCCGAGGTCACATCGTCGACAGACGTGCGAAGTGTCCGGACTTGCGAGAGGAGTGACACCACCTTGCTCTGGGCCTCGCCGTGGGCGTTGACGGCTTCATCGCGGGAAGAGACAACGTCGGCCAGAGTCGACTCGAGTCGCGCCTTCTCCTTTGACCAAGTTGAGCTGTTGAGAACCTCATCATCCCACTTGGATCGAAGGTCATCCAACTCCTCCCTAAGGCGAGTGATCTCCGCCTGCTTGAATAGCTTCTCTTCGCGAGCTAAGTCAAGCTCCTTCGTGAGAGTCGCAAACTCGGCCTGGTACTTTTTGCGCGTCTGTTCCAGGCTTGATTCCTTGTCCTCGATTTCGTTGGCTCTCTGGTTCCGGTAGTCTTCAAGCTCGTGTTGCAGTCTCTTCTTGGCTTGCATTGCGGCATCGAGATCAGTCGACACATCCTCCACCTTCTCCTCGAGTCTTTGGCTCTGGCGCTGGAGGTCCTCGATGATGCCATCCATCTTCTTGCGTTCCGCCATCGCTTCCGCGCATGTCTCTTCTGCCTCTCGAGCCTGGGCCTTCGCGAACTGCTCAGCCCGGCTGGCTTTGAGCACAGCAATCTCTGCCTGCTCCAGCTTGCTGAAGTACTCGTCAGAGCGGCCCTTGTAGAGGTTGAGGCTTGACGATAGATCTGCCAGCTTCGAAGTCTCGGTATCAAGGCGAATCTGAAGATCAGAGAACTCTTCCAGCAGCTGGCTGCGGCTGGCGGCCTCTTGCTCTCTGGCCATGGTCATTTCTTGCAGGTCCGACTTGGAGTCGCGTAGTTCGACTTCAAGGCGGGCTCGCTCGTGACGCATCTTCTCAAAGTAGGTCTTCACCTCGGTGAGCTCCGAAACAGCGTTCTTGTGGCTATGCAGCAGAGACCTTCGTGAATCCTCTTGGCTGTTGAGCACATCAAGAATCTCCTCGTGTGAGCGGGTCTGGATGTCGCGCAGCGAAAGTTCTCCGCTGCGGATGCTCTTTTCGAGAGCAGAGACCTTGGCAGTCGAGTCGTCGAGCATACCATGGAGTCGAGAGTTGGCCTGTTCCAGCTTCTGCATGCGACGCATGGAAGGGCTCTCGTCAGAGTACGTCTCTGGAACGGGGGTGCTGCGGTCCACTTGGCTCTGAAGATGACGGTTCTGCATATGAGCCAACTGTAGCTGGTTTTGGAGCTCCTCGACCTCAGTCTTGAGATCCATACGGTTGTTGAAGCTCAAGAGATCTGCAGTGCGGTCCGAGCGAGCCGAATCGAAACCTTCATTATCAATGGGCGCGTGCCGACGAGTGGGAGTCGAGGTGTTGGAGATCTTTCGCGCGTGTGCCTTTGACCGCCTTTGCGTTGGCGAACCGGTGAAGGGAGCCTCATTAGGATGGATCTCCTCGAGCTTCGGCCGCATGGGCGATTCAGACCGTGCTGCGCGTAGATCGGCAAGCTGCGATTCCGCATTGGCCCTTGCTGTAGCCTGTACGCGAAGATTTTGCTGCAAATCCTCCACCTTGCGGACAAGGTCAAAGTTTCGCGCAATATTCCGGTCTTGAGTGCTGTCATCCTGCATGGGAGGCATGGCATCGGGCTCCACGGTCTTGAGGATTTGCAACATTTGAGTACGCAGCTCCTCCAGCTCCTTCTCTCTAGAGTCCAAAGTCGATTGCAGCGTCCGGACTGTGCTTTGAGCTTGGCCACGGAGCTGTTTCTCCGAATCCAGAGCCCGGTTCACCTCAGCGAGTTGAGCAGCTGAGGTTGACGTAGCTTTCTCGGCATTGCGTGACTGTTTGGTCTCCCTAGCAACTTCATGGTTGAGATCCTCCACGTTGAGCTGCAACTTTTCTGCCTTCTTTTCCAGGCCAGCGATCTTGAGTTGTGCGTCGCCGAGTTGCTTGTTGAGCTTCACGTTCTGCTCCTCAATGCGGGCTTTCTCACGCTGCAAAGAAAGAACCTGCCCACGGGAAGCGTCGCTGGCCCTTGACGTGGAGCGTGCGATTTCAAGACCCTTTTGTTGCAGCTTGTTGAGTAAAGCCCTGTTGTCGTTTTCGGATGCTGTTAGTCGGCTTCTGACCGTGGTGAGCTCACGCTCGAGTCTTTCTTTAGCCTGGTCATTCTTGAGACCGAACTCTCCTGACGACAAGATGAGCTTGTTGAGATCTTCGACCTGGTGATTGAGCTTTGCACACTCTTCCTCAAACCAAGTCAGACGTTCCTGGGCAGC